ATTTATCTTCCAAACCAGACAGGGTGAAGCAGGATTGTCCCAGGTACACAGAAGTGTGCAATCTCCCTACCCCCTGAGGTCGTGGCCTCTTACCATTGGTTCTGTTGCCCATTAAGTTGCCTACAGTTTTTAACTTTGGCTGCTTTCATTTTTTTTTTTTTCTGGGAAATCCCAGGATGCATGCCTGGGACTGCTCCTTCTCGTGACTAAGTAGATAGGAACAATCTTGTATTGGCTCGGACTGGAGCTATGAAAAAAAAAGGGGGGGAGAGTTTTTCTGTTGCAGCAGCAATTTTATAGGAACATTTTTACATGTTTGTTTGTTTGTTTTTGTTTTTTGAACGTACTTGCTGACTTAAAATACTTGGAAAGCATTTCTTAAAATATTTGGAAAGCATTTCTTAAAAAGAATAAAAATGTTATACAGCCATTTACACACTCAGCATTAAGACTTAACCACAGAGAAAATATTGTTGGTCTTTATTCTTTCCTTGTGAAAATGTCAAGATTTTTACTAGCTACAGGTTAGTCTCAGGTTTGTTTGTTAATGTTATGTCAAAATCTTGTCAAAGTCCTTGTATGTCCTTCAATAGCTTAAGTTCTTAATGGCTGAATAGTAATCTTGACCAGCGGTCGCCAACTTTTTGGATCTCACGGACCACCAGTGGTCTGCGGACCACCCGTTGTGACTGCTGATCTAGAGCATTCATACCTTGCTATTGGGCGTTGAGTCTATTTCACTGGGATTCCAAGTAATGCTGTCACGTCTTTATCAGCATCACTGTTGATAAACATGGAGCTTTCAGAGACATGGCAATTAGGTTGTGGGTCAATAGTATGAAGTTTCAGGCCATTAAAATATATTTTCAAATGTATTTTAATATTCTTGTATATTTCACATATAATACAACTCACAAATCTTATAGGTATAGCCTGATTACTTTTTAATCTATGTATACAACATGTAACCACCACTCACATCAAGACTGATATTTTCAACATCTCTTAAGGTTCTTTTGCATATTTTTCAAGTCAGTGCTTCATTTCCAAGAGGTGATCATTGTTTTGATTTAAGTCAAAATCGATGGCCTGGCCCTGCATTGACCTATGAACCAGGAGGTAACAGTTCAATTCCTGTTCAGGGAACATGCCTGGGTTGTAGGCTTGATCCCCAGTGTGGGGCGTGCAGGAGGCAGCTGATCAATAATTCTTTGATGTTTTTATCTCTCTCTCCTTCTCCCTTCCTCTCTGAAATCAGTAAAAGTATATTTTAAAAAATGTTTTTACAAAATGGGTTGCCTATTATTAAATTCATTTAAATTGAATTATGTGGAATGCATTTATTTGTGTCTGAAGTCTTACGCTTAATGCTTTTAAAAAATATCAATGCTTTGTTCTTTTCATTGCTAAGAGTCCACTGAATAAACACACCACTGTTTGTATATATTTTCCTGTTGATAGACATTGGGAATGCTTCCATTTGGGGCTGTTATGAACAGACGTATAAACACTCTTGTCCTTTTTGTGTCTGTATGGATTCATTTGTCTTAAATATTTACTTACAAGTGCAACTTCTGAGTCATAGAATATGCGTTTGTTTAATTTCAACAGAAAAGGCTAAACTGTTTTCTAAGCTTCTTACCAGCAATGCTCCATTTGCTCTACGTTCCCATCAACCCTGGGTTGTCTGAGTCTCCCCATTTTAACCATTTTGGTGGGTGGGTAGCAGTTTTTCATGGTGTAGCCAATTGCATGTCCCTTGCTATTCTTCTAGAAGCATTACTGTGCTCCCTCCCACACTCTGAGCCTCTGGTAGAGATGCAGGCTGAGCCAATTCCTGACCTGAGCTGGCGCCTAAGGAGAAACCTGGAGGGCAGAAAGCAAGCAGCGAGGTGACACGGAGCAGGGACTGAGCGAGTGAATTGGTGACAGCCCCAGCACACTGCCAACCTCAGCAGAGGGTGATATCAGAAGGGAGCCCAAGAGGATGCCAGTCAGCTCAAGTAACCTCCCTAGTTCTTTGCCTCCTGTTGGCAAGGGAAGGAATTGCAGCTTACATATATGAACCAGTTTATGTAAGGACATGGATTTTCAAAACACAAACATTCAAGTTGACACATAAAACATCAATAACGTAAGAGGACGTGTCACTTGGGACACTCTGTTGGATGTCACAGTTCATTGTGGTTTGGAATGTAACGGCACAATCCCAGGGAGCAGCTAGCTGGGCGATGCTCAGGGAAAACAAGTGGGTTGCCTTACACTGTGGCCTGCTGGCACGTCCCAGATGAGTCTTTGTGCCTCTGGCCTTTGGGGTTTGTGGTCCTGGTACTTCCTGTGCCCCTGGGCCAAGGTCTCCGTAGCCAGTTTAGCCTAGAGACTATGGAAGGAATAGGTTAGGATTAGATGGCACCTTTGTGGCTGGGAGGCACACCTCTTACCTGGCTGGCACGTAGCTGCCTTATCCCTCCTGCAGTTTGGAGGTGCTGCCTTGGACTTGACTCGGAAGCTTACCTCCAGACAAGAGATATATCTGACTAACGGTGTTTGCCAACAGGAAGGGCTCCTACCTGGTTTGCTGGTTTGTACTCTAGGCATTTTACTTCCCCACTCTACTCTGGCCATCAGACAATGCCAAGTTTCCAAAATGTGTGGCTCCTGGAGATAGAGGGCGCTGGCGAGGTCATCTGCCCCATACCTCATTTTCTGCCTGGGACACAGTGCTAGTTCCACTTTTGAATGGGGAATCTTAAGACCCGAGAGGGAAGTTGACTTGCCCTAAGTGACCCGGAGAGGCGGGGCCAGCGGTGGGATCAGAAGTCAGGTCTCTGCTTCCAGGGGGATCAGAACTGTGGCGTCTCCACACGATGACAATGGTGGGCCCTGAAGAGCTAGGGCCGCAGGATGACAATCCTCTCTCCCTTCGTGAGGAATCTGGTCTTCGTGCCTCCGCATGGTGGGCCTCCCATCTGAAAAAGAGCCAGCTCTGCTCATGAAGAACAGGGAATTTTGCTCGTAAGTGTCTTTGAAGGAAAGGTGACCGACCCCATGCCTTCAAATGGAGGCTTGCAAATTCTTGGGATTGGGGTACAGGGATGGAGATAAATTTATTTTGTATCTCAGGGGTGCCAACCCTCTAAATACATAGCTGCTTTTCAAGATTATAAGGGAAGGATCACCGAAACTGGTTTGGCTCAGTGGATAGAGCGTCGACCTACAGACTGAAAGGTCCCAGGTTCGATTCTGGTCAAGGGCACATTCCCAGTGGGGTGTGTGTAAGAGGCAGCTGATCGATGTTTCTCTCTCATCGATGTTTCTAACTCTCTCTCTTCCTCTCTGTAAAAGAATCAATAAAATATATTAAAAAAAAAAAAAGAAAGAAAAAAGAAAGAGAAGGTTCTATGACCTGGGCCAATGATTCTCCTTCTGCTTCAACACTGAGCACATCCCTCTGGTTTGTCCTTTCTAATCCCACCCCCAGGACCGCCCTTCCTCAGATCCCCATCTCCTTGGAACCACTGCAGTGGCCTGCTCTCTGGCCTTCCCCTCACACTCTCTCCTGCACTCAGATGCCAGGCTATTCTTCCTGCCGCCTGCCTCGGAATGTGAAACCTTCCTTCTTTCCTCTTCCTGTTTCAAAACCCTCAGTGCCTCCTTATGACTCATTGACTTCCCACTTGAAATTCAAGAGCCCCTAAGATCTGGTTCCAAACTTTATTTGTAAAACTCTCAACTCCTCTGTCTTCCCATAGCTCAGCTGGATGGGTTTCCCTCCTCTGGCTCACTCCCCACCTCCCTCTCCTGTCCCAGCTCTGAAGAGCCCTTTTTGTTTCCCACGGTATGCTGCCCCTCAAGACCAGGCCTGTTGAAGATCCCCCTTCGATGGAAATCTTTGAGTGCTCCTCTGAGTAATAAACATCTACTTTCCTCAGAGATTAGGATTCATTTCTGGGGTGTTATCCTGGGCTGGAGAGAATTCATTAGATGGTGAAAACTTGGGATTATTACAGAAAAGTTTAAAGATTGCTGCAAGAGATCTAGAGAGAGACTGGCCAGTTTGGCTCAGTGGATGAGCATTGGGCTGCAGACCAAAGTGTTCCTGGTTGGATCCCGGTCAAGGGCACGCACCTTGGTTGCAGGCTCCTCCCTGGCCCGGGCCCTGGTCAGGGCTTATGCAAGAGACAGTCAATCAATGTGTTTATTTCACATTGATGCTTCTCTGTCTTTTCGCTCTGTCTTCCACTCTCCCTAAAAACAGGGAGAGAGAGAGAGAGAGAGAGAGAGAGAGAGAGAGAGAGAGAGAGAGAGAGAGAGAGACTCTGGGGAAGATGGGAATTAAGACGCTATAGGGATTAGGGCATGTGATGATGTGATGTCTTGGGCTAGAGCCAGAGGGTTGAAACAGCTTGATCTGGCCCTGCTAGGTTCTCCCTGATCCTCAGTCGAGTCCAAAAGACTTCTTAGAGGATGGCCCCTGTACCCCAAATTGCCACCCATTGCTGCCATTTTCTCCCTCCCAGCTAAATGTTATCCCGTAAAAAATAAGAACAAGTAGTTTAACCTTGTATATATTTTTATTTGAACATCCCATAGTAACCTAGTAACATTAATTTCATCAACAACATTACACAGTTTATATTTACAAAAGCCCAGAAGTGTTCCCACTCTGACGACCCACGGAAGGATTCCCAACACTGGAGGCACCGGAGACAGAATGATCACTCCGGCCGGGCACTTAGCTGGGCTCACAGGAGTGGAAAAGGTTGCCAGATTCGGCACTTTTCATTCATTAGGATTTCTGGCAGATAAGGCCGAACCACCAATAGCTTATATTTAATTAAATATTACTTAAGAAATGTTGTGTTTTACATTAGGAACTCAAGCACCACTTTTTTGTACATGGCAATAAAATAACACCATCCTACACCTGGGGAAGGTAGAGGGGAAATAAATAAGGGTTTCCTCAGGCTCTGACGGTCTCTCCATGCAGGTGTGATGTGTTAAGGCTTCAGAGCTTGGGCCCTGCTGTCCAGGAGGCCCATGAGGTCCTGAACCCACTTCTTCTTGGGGTCCGCGCAGATCTCCTTGTCTTTTTTGGTCTGGAAGCTGTGGGGCAATCAGATGGAGCACCTTGAGGATTCTGCCCAGGCGTGGGACCCATTGGCTCCCAAACCTGATCAGCCCCTTCTCCCTTGGTGAGGGGCCTGGATTGGGACAGAGGGGGATGGGGGAAGGATGGGAGGGAGAAGTCTGAAAAGGAAGCTTGCTCTTACTGTCCCTGGGGAAGCCCTGCAGGCTCCTGGCTGAGGAAACGTGGGTGATCTGACCAAGCTCCTAGAAGGGGAGCCTGCAGGGAAGGTAGGTCCCTTCTCATGGGCTCCGTTTCTCGACCGGGGAGAAGGCCCATTGGATTAGCTGGTGCGTTTATCTGGCTCATGTGGACAGGCTCAGGGTGTCAGGATGTGGCTCACTCACATCACAGCTTCCTGTTGACACTGGCTGTTGGTGACTCTTGTGTAGCTCTTCAGCTTCTGGATGCGGATCTCCTTGCTGACCATATTATAGCAGCAGGTGATGGGGATGGAAACGGACTCTGGAAAAACAGTTTGCAAAGAAGGAGGCAGTGAGGATGTGTCGTGAGCACATGCATTTGGAAGGGAAGGAGGGGAAGGCAGGGGAAGACAAAGCAAAAATACACGAGATCCAACTAGGACCCACCACTCCCAAGTTTAGTGCCTTCGCCCAGATCCCACAGATACAATGCCACCTGTGAGCCAGTTTCCCCCATTGACGATAGGGCCCCTCACCAATGACGGGGAATGGGAAAATCGTGAGTAATAAGGCTAATCCTGTAGAGTTATTATAAGGGGCTTCTGATCCAAAACTTCTGACACTGGAAAGATAAGTTCTAAGACTTTGCTTCCAAGCTTTTTGTCCCGTTTTAGCTCTAGAGCTGACCCATGTTACATGCGGAGATGCCTCTGGATGCTTGACACAGCCACTGTTCTGGAAACTCCACTGACCGTAATAAAAATGTGAAACCTCCAGCAGGCGTTTCTTCCTCTCCACTACTTCCCAAAACGTCTTTCACATCCACAATGAGAAAGGGTCCCCTTTTTTCGGTGCCACATGCCCAAACAGTGAGAAGGTCACCAATGTAGTGACTGCATTTAGTGTCCCAAAGCTGGGACAGGTCAGAGGGACTAGCCTCTGTGGCCCGGGCACCAAATTCTGGCTCTGCCTCTGACCAGCTGGGATATGACCGCTCCTCTCATTTCCCCTCTTGCCTCCACTTTCTCCCTCTCAGGCATTGCAACAAGCCTGGGATGACTCAGACTGAGAGGTTCGTATCTGCAGTCATGAAAACATTAAGCCCCTAGGCAGAGAAGGGCCTTACCTGGATTGGCGAGCACCTGGGTGCCGAAGGCGGCTACTGTGAGCAACAGGCACATCAGGGCTGCGGAGACCTTCATGGCGGAGGGCGTGAGTGTGAGCTTGGGCCTGAGAGTTGTGGGTTTCAGGATTGGCCTCGACCTCTCTGCTCCTCTGGCTGCTCTGGCCATTCTGCCTGCCTTTTATAGGAGGCAGGGAGCATGGCCCGCGTCATGATCCAGGAAGGATGAAGTAAGACCCTGAAAGTGCTGAGTAGGCACCAGAACCTGAGAGCTATCTCCAGACATGTAGAGAAGGAAACTGTGGAGTTTCCATTGTTGCTCAGACTGCGTGGAGCAGAGGTGGAGGAGGGGTCTGTGGCTGTGCTCAGCCAAGCGGAGGCAGTGATCTCATCAGATCAGGAAGGGCTGCCATTTCTTTGAAATGGAAAGTGATCTGTTAGGAAGGAAGAAGGGAAGCCGAGGTCATAGTGGAGTGAAGAGAATCAAGGGTTTTTTTTTTTTTTTTTTCTTCCCCAGGACCAAGAAGGCTTTGCCTATATTCAGACTCAGGTCCATACATCCTAAATTAGTCAGGCTGCTTCTTGGCAGAATGGCGGAATCAGGAATTTCCAAGTCTCAAGGACTGAGAAAACTTATGGCGTGGAGCCTAAGAACTGGACAGCACATGTCGTCTTTCTAGGCTGGTGGTTTCCAAATATTTTATTTAGACACTAAGGTTTCTTTTCAAGTAAAGTCAGATGAAGAAGCCCAATATGTTATGCAGGTTCAAGTGGAACAAGTCTGCTTGAGGAAGGTCTCCCAGCTCCCTTCACTCGTTTTTGTTGGGTGAAGTGGTCTACAGATGTCAATTAGAAAGCTGATCAAATATCTCCAATCAATTCCATAGCTTAAAAAGTATGGCCTGGCCGGCATGGTGCAGTGGTTGGGCATCAACCTGTGAACCAGGAGGTCACGGTTCAATTCCCAGTCAGGGCACATGCCCAGGTTAAGGGCTTGATCCCCAGTGTGGGGCGTGCTGGAGGCAGCTGATCAATGATTCTCTCCCATCATTGATGTTTCTCTCTGTCTCCCTCTCTCTTCCTTTCTGAAATTAAGAAAAATATGTTTAATAATATGTGGGATAGCGGTTTCCTTTGTGATATTGACATCATAAGGGAGCTTTTGAGAGGCAAGAATGTTCTATATCTTAATCAAGGGAGTGGTGGTTAAATAGTTGTCTACATATGTGAAATTTGTGAAAGTGTACACTTGAAATTTCTGCACTTTACTGCACATACTCGTGACTTATATTTCAATATCCTATATAATAAAAGCCTACTATGCAAATCTAGTTGAATATAAAATGCTGTGATTGATTAGTGATGTCTGCCATATGGGTATAGTAACAGAAGGTGGTACTACCTATGAAACATAGTTGCTATTTCTGGATTAAATAAGTTTTAAGCTGTTCTATAATTTAATTCCTCTATGATTGTTTTCAAAGGATCTAATCAGACACCAGAGAAACTAGGATGCCAGGAACCAGCAGGTAATGGTTCTTAGCCCTCAGCCCTGGGAGAAGCAGAATAGATTGAAAGTCTGAACTTGGTTACTAGAAACACGAGTTAATATCTATGTCAGAGAAAGCACAAATTATTTCACTTTTTTTATATTGAAAATTCCTTACCTATTCTTTACTTTTCAAATGTGAAAATGGAGTTTATTGCAAATATTAAATTATCTGACATTGATAACTTGCTTTTCCGAATAACATGTGGTAGGTAATCAATAAGATAGCTGTTAATCAATAGGCAAATAATGTGATTGTACTGTCTAGAACATGCTAGGAAGAGACCATAGCATGTGATTCTTTGTGTTTTGTAAAAGTTCTCCTTATTAGTAAAATTGCATGTGATTCTTTGTGTTTTGTAAAAGATCGCCTTATTAGTAAAATTGCTTCCAAGTGAAGATATGTGGCAGGGATAGACTCCTGGGAACATCTGCGTGATACACGAAGAAAGAAAAAGGGTGTCCCAGACACAGAAGGGAATAGAGGTCCTGGGATCCTGGCATAAACCACAAGAGAGGAATGTTGTGGGGTCTTAGAGGGACTGGAGTCAGATCCCAGTGCTGACCCAGGGGCACCGGGGTCTTAGTTCCACAGGGAGCTCAGAGGTCTCCATTGGCAAGTCTCTTTGATTATGCATTCTCTCTCTCTCTCTCTCTCTCTCTCTCTCTCTCTCTCTCTCTCTCTCTCTCTCTCTTTCTGTCTCTCTCTCAAATGAATTTGAGAAATCCCACAATAAAACATTAAAATGGAACTAGGCTATGCTGATTCAGCACCTGCTCTGTCCAGAAGCCTGGCTGTGCTGTTTAAGGAAGTGGTCCTTGCGCCTCTCCTCTGTCTGTTCTCCTTGGTGTCTGCCCACTGAGAATCTTCTAAATGGTTCAGTGGCTGGGAAGGGAAACTCAAAGTCAGAAACAGCTGTCTGAGAACAGAAGGCAAGAATGGTCACCCCACTGTGGAAACACATCTGGATTCTCAAAGACTGTGCTGAAATAGTTCTGGAAATCAGGATATTAGTTTATTTTTGTTTGTTTTGTTTCCTCTCTGTCCCAAGTGTTCTCAATAGTCAGGAACTAATGGAATGTGTCAGAAGAGACATTTGGAATTATTTTATTTAAACTTTTCCCTTTACAAATGAGAGAAAGAATCATAGAGACAAAATGATTTGTCATAGGTTGCATACCAGCAGACAGCATAGGGTGAAGCAGTGCCTAGAATTCATACTACAACTATTCTATGACAAGTCAGGACGGGTGAGTGGGGATGGCAGAACCAGAGCCATATGCAATTCCTAATTGGAAGAACCAGGCAGAAGATTACAGGGAGGTGCCCAGAAACCCCAGAGACTGTCCAATGCTTGGGTCCCTAGATTTGCCTGTAATATCAGGGTGCCCTGGGAAATTATTGGTAAGATATGCCTTAACCAATTCCAACAGGGTGACTCAGACCTTTTGAAGATGATGCTTCGAATTTCTAAAGTGGTCCAGGTGATTTTTAACCATGGCCAATTTGGGAGCCATTTACCTAGTTCAAATGTCTCACTTACAGATATGTAAACTGAGGCACAGGGTGGGAAAATTGTTTTCCCAGAATCACTTTAACAATTTAGAACATAGCCGAAACCAGTTTGGCTCAGTGGATAGAGCGTCGGCCTGTGGACTGAAAGGTCCCAGGTTCGATTCCAGTCAAGGGCATGTACCTTGGTTGCAGACACATCTCAGTAAGGAGGTGTGCAGGAGGCAGCTGATCGATGTTTCTTGTCATCAATGTTTCTAACTCTCTATCTCTCTCTCTTCCTCTCTGTAAAAAAATCAATAAAATCTTAAAAAACAACAACACAATTTAGAACATATTTAAAATCAGAATGCCTGATTATGTATTGGGCCTCCCTGTTGGGTGCTTGGTATGAATAAGGTCTTCCTTCTAATGGAGGCCTCAGAATCTGCAATGTTTTGTGTCTATAAATTTGTGTTTCAGGAATAAGTGAGTGGGGTCCCAGCTGAAATGTAAAAGGTTTCAAGGACGATTCCTTGATTTGTCTTCACAGGAGGAGCACAGGCAGATTGTATGTGGGTTTGGGAACCTGTAGCTTACCCCATCAAGCCCTTGCACCATCATTCCCCACTCACCCCTAACATTTTCTGGGCACAGAGGCCCTCCTGAGACTCAGTGATGATCTAGTAGTATCTGTTCTTGTCCTTTATACCTCCATGGACTCTTTTGAATGGTGTTTGGGGATAGGTCTTTGAGGAGGAGAGGTAGGCAGGGTTAGACTTAATGTGAGGGCAAGTCCATGGTCTTCTGGGATCTAGGACTTTGTCTTGATGGAGTGAGCTGTTCAGTTGCTCCTGGGGCTTTGAGGCAGGGGGGGTGGTTTCACTGGGATGTGGATAGAAGTCTCTAGACCTTCTCTGCTGGAGCATTTGCCATGATCCTGGGTTTCTGGCTGGCTGGGTAGCATGAATTAAGTCATTGCACTATAGCGGGCATATATAGTACTTATGTTTTTACTTTAAGAATAATTTAAATTAGCATTATGATGAAAAATGCAGTTTAAAAATCCTGACCTATAGCTTTATTTCTGCAACTGTGGAATTATACATCACAATGTATGAATGTACTTTAATACCTATCACCACATTGCTTTCTAAGAAGTTCACCTTGGACAACATTGTGGTAAGCAGGATAATGGGCAATGCCCAAATATTCACTCCCTAATCCCTGGAATCTCTGATTGTTACCTTACATGGCAAAAGCATCTTTGCAGACGTGACTCAAGGCAATGCCTGGAGAACAGAGTATTCTGAGTTATCCAGGTGGGCCTACTCTAATTACAAGAGAGATGAGACAGAAAAAGAAATTAATTTGTTTAAGGCTTTAAGCCACTAATTTTGTGATACTTTATTCCAACAATAGTAAAAAACAAGCACATTATTTTTAAAGAAATGTTCAATGCTTTGTTAAAAAAAAAATCTTGTAACAGGCAAAACTAATATATCATGATAGAATTGGGGTTGGCAGTTCCTTTTGGGGGCGATTAACAGGCAGGAGGCAGGAGGCAGGGAGCAGGAGGCAGGGGGCAGGAGGCAGGAGGCAGGGAGCAGGAGGCAGGAGGCAGGGGTAGGAGGGAGATTGCTGGGGTTTGGAAAAATTCCACAGATGTTGATCAGGGTGGTGGCTATGTGGAATGGAAACACACATAAAATTGACTTAACTTTATTGAAGGAAAGTATTACAATTAAAAAGTAAGTAGAAACAGCCATAGCCGGTTTGGCTCAGCAGATGGAGCATCAGCCTGCGGACTGAAGGGTCCCGAGTTTGACTCCAGTCAAGGACACCTGCGTGGGTTGCAGGCTCGATTCCCAGTAGGCAGTGTGCAGGAGGCAGCCGATTAATGATTCTCTGTCATCATTGATGTTTCTATCTCTCCCTCTCCCTCCCTCTCTGAAATCAATAAAAATATATTTAAAAAGAAAGAAAGAAAAAAGTAAGTAGGAACAAAACATTCCAGCACCAGTTTGTGTAAATTCTT